ATAGATTCCTGAAAAGTTCAAAAGGTACAGATTTTATTGTCCTAACCATAGTACGCAGAAATTGTTGAGTCTGGTAAATGCTTCGGTTATATTGAAAATGGCCAAATGGCCAAATTAGTGGGAGCAGTGAACCACGCAAAAGTGAATGTGCAAGAGATTCAAATTGAAAATCCAACTCAGATGGATTTTCCTAATGTCTCTTCTTCGATTGTTGTTCCACTTGTTGTTTCACGATTTAACAACATGGTTCAACAACAAAACAACATTCCGAACCCACAAAATGACAATATAAATGATGAACCAGCAAATAATGAACAATTCACAAATAATCAAGTGGTTTCATAAGAAATAGCATTACGGAGGTCACAAAGGCAAAGAAGGCCAGCTATTTCTAGTGATTATGTGGTTTACTCACTCACTTGAGCATGAATGTGAATTGGGCATCGATAAGGATCCAGTCTCTTTCCAGAAAGTCATGGAATGTGATAATTCTGAAAAGTGGTTTAATGCCATAAAGGAAGAAATGCAATCAACGAGTGACAATCAAATCTGGGGTTTAGTCGAGTTGCCTGAGGGGTCAAAACAAGTTGGTTATAAATGGGTTTTTAAGACTAAACAGGACTCTAAGGGCAACATTGAAAGATATAAGGCCAGACTTGTTGCTAAAGGTTACACTCAGAAGGATGGCATTGATTATAAAGAGACCTTTTGAATTTAATAAAGAGAACTTTTTTCTCTCCATTTTTCAAAAAAGGACCTTCTTAGATTATTTTGGCTTTGGTGGCTCATTATGATCTTAGAGCTTCAACCAAAATGGATGGTAAAGACAGCCTTTCTTAAATGGTGAACTTAGAGGATGAAGTATACATGGCCAACCAGCGGGGATTTTGTGGCACAGGAAAGGAAATTTAAGTGTGTAAGTTAAAGAAGTCATACTATGGACGCTGAAGCAAGCCTCTGTCAATGGTATCTTAATTTTCAATAATACCATCACTTCATATGGTTTTATGAACAACTGTTTGATCGGTGGTATCTATATGAAGGTCAGTGGGAGCAAGCTCATTATCGTTAGTCCCTTATATGTTGATGAACATTCGTTCTTGCTATTGGCGAAATGGAGGTGGATGGTTTGTTGATGACAATGCGTTTAAAGGGGTTTTCTTCATAAGAATTTTATAAGAATTTTGAAATGAAAGATATGGGAGAGGCATCCTTTGTGATTGGAATAGAAATATTTCGTGATAGATCACAAGGACTGTTAGGATTGTCTCAAAGAGATTACATTGATAAAGTATTAAAGAGATTCAGAATGGAAAAATGCTCCGCAGGCCAATTCAGAAAGGAGATAGGTTTAGCGAAATGCAATGTCATAAGAATGATTTGGAACGTAAAGAGATGGAATCTATTCCATATGCGTCAGTGGTTGGGAGCTTAATGTATGTTCAGACATGTACTCGACCGGATACAAGTTTCGCCGTAGGAATGTTAGGGCGATATCAAAGTAATCCCGGGATGGATTATTGGAAAGTTGCAAAGAAAGTACTTAGGTATTTACAAGGCATTAAGGATCATATACTCACTTATAGAAAGTCCAGCCATCTAGAAGTGGTGGAGCCCATCTAGAAGTGGTGGGAATACTCGGGAATTCAGACCATGCGGTTTGTGGTAGATATCGAGAAAAGTCTACATTTTGGGCTACTTTGTTTCTTCCTAGCTGGACGGAGCAGTAATCATGGAAAATGGAAAGTAGTCTGTCAATTGCCGCCTACCTTCCACAATGGAAGGCTGAATTTGTGGCAATGCTTTGAGGCCACTGTTCATGCATTGCGGATGCGGATTTTATCTCAGGTTTTAGGCATTGTCGACAGTATAGCTAGACCAATTGAGAATTTTACTGTTGATAATTCCACAAGCTTGTTCTTCTTCTCTAAAATGATAGTCTCTAAGGGTGCAAAGCACATGGATTTGAAGTAATTCTATCTGTGAAGAAGAAGTGCACAAAACCAAAGTGTCGCAATTGAGCCATATCGGTACTATCTGATGATAGCAGATCCGCTAACTAAGGGCCTATCGCACCCAAAATCTTCACTGGCCATGTGATAGGATGGCATTATAGAATAAGTCCTGTTAAAGGCATGATGGTTAAACTTGTATATATATATATATATACATATGGTTGTTTTGCCTCATATTATTGTGACACTTGGAAATTCATTAAAGATGTGTTTTGCTTATTTATGTGTTATCTACATTATAGTTGTATACAATAATGGTTTGAGTGAGATAACAATAACATTTGATTGTGATAATGTATTATTTGTTGAATAGTTTCTCCACTAAAGTTTATGAATTGAAGTGGTCTGTGATATATGGAAGGAATCATGTCGATTAATGACTTGTGACCGCCATAATCCAATCATCTTAATTCAAATTAAGGTAAACATGATAGACTCATGAAATGCACATGGGCCAAGTGGGAGATTGTTAGATTATTTAATAATCTGTATGTGGCCTATGTGATTAAAGGGCTGGTTCTAATTAAGGGTGAATTAAAACGGGCTGGGGCTGGTTCTAATTAAGGTGGCCCAAGATGATGGTTATTAGGCTTAATGGATAAGAGCCAGTTAGAGTTTTAATACCCTTCCTCTGCTTTATAAAAGAATAAAGGAATTAACAAATTAGAGTTAACACAGAAACAAGAGAGTATGACGGCTCCCTAAAACACATACGGAGATAGTTTGTTTGAGAGAGCTCATAAAAGAAACTCATGCAGCTGTTGATTATTCTCCGACAATTAAGAGAGCACTTACGGACAAAAGGTCAGAGTGAAGAAATGTAGATCTGCTGTTACGGTGAGAATCGAATTGTCCCAACGAGGTAACCCATAACATAGATATGCCGTTATGGATCAAGGTACGCTTTCAACGAGGTAACCCATAACATAGATATGCCGTTATGGATCAAGGTACGCTTCCGATTATTGTATATTCTTGTCAAACAAATTATATGAACAATAGATCTGGGCTATATAAAAGTTTATTCAACACTGATTTGATGCTCTTATTTTCCATCCCCTCAATTTTCTTTCCTTCTCCAATGAAAGGAAAAGGAGAAGGAAACAAACTCCTTCCTCGTTTTCCTCTTCGCTTTCACCATCCAAACAAGGTGTTAACAAGTTAAAGACACCGGCACTTTGTTGCGGAAAATTTTTTTTTTATTTACCCAATAATCTATATTAATATAATTTTTTTTACTAAAATTCTATTTTATTGATAAATATAATATTATAGTAAATAACATGATAAAGTATACAATTATTATTAGCGGAAAAAAGAAAATAATTATAAATTTATTCTGTATACTAAATTTTTAAAATTTTATTTATATATTTTTCTTGAATTTTTGTATTTTTAAGAAAAAATATAAACTTGACGATAAAGATTTTTTTATTTCACGATCAAATTCAATAAAGAAAGCGAATCTAAAAAAAAGTATATATTTTTTTTCATACTTCTTATTTTTGAAGTTTTAACTATTAAGCATATTTTTTTTAAAAAAATCATTTAAATAACTCCTCAAAAGTTTTTTTGAAAAATCAAAGTCAGTAAAAATTTAAAAAATTTAATGTTAAATAATAAAAACTTAAGAGTTCTAAAATGATTTTTCTCATTTGTTAATTACCTTTTTATGATTGCATAAGAGAAAAGAGTTTTTCAATTTTGATGCAAAATTTAAGAACTCCTCAAAACTACAAATTGAATTAATATCTCTTAATTTTAATGCAAATTATATCTTTTTCACATAGATTTACATAATGCACTAAAAATATCAATTCAATTGATGGTTTTCGATATAAGGCATAAATAAATAATCTCTATTATAGTTTTTTGCAAATAAAATGCTATAGAAAATTATTGGTGATTATTCTTTTAAGAAATAGATCTCATGATTTGAAATTTATTAGTGATAATTCTCCCCTTTAAAGAAATTAACATTTGAAATTTAATTAAATAATATATTTTCAAAAATAAACAAAACTTAATTGAACTAAAATTTGAAAAAGAAAAGTATAATTCTATGAATTTTTTACAATTTATTTTTAACTAAAATAAGATAAATAATTAAATTATATTTTTAAAGATTAAATTAAAAGAATAAATTCATAAATAAATTTAATTGATTGTTGTCACTAATCAAATATGAGCAAAGTTTAACACGTGTACAAGTTTTGCATTAAAGAAATTGTTTAGTTCACTTTATTGATTTGCGGAGCTTCAACTTTATAGTATATAAAGGATAATAACAATTGTTAGGGGTATAATTGTCAACTAAAGCCAAAATCATTGTTACATGAACAAAACACGCATATTAAGAATTTAGTCAATAAAAGTTATTCTGCCTTTTTTTACCCTTAATAACCCATCAAGATACTAAAAACTCTTTATTCAATGAACAATTATAAAAATTATTATAAAAAATTAATTATTTACATATCTAAATTTAAAAACATTATAAATATTTTGAAATATCCAAAAAAAGAATAACAAGCAAATAAAATGTTACAGATGGAATATATAATGTCAGCTTTTTAACCTTGTATAAAATTTTTTTTTTGACTGGAAACCTTGTGTAAATTATTTTTTTCTTTTTTAACTGAACCTTGTGTAAATTATGCACATTACACAAGCATGAAATGTAATACAAAAATCTGACCCGATTCGATAAACATTTCAATTTTACTTGACCCGAAATCGGAATCAGCTGATCCAACCCAGATACTTTCTGCCACCTATAGATTATTTTTCCCATTAAAAAGACACGTAAGCTAAAAGCGTCCAAAACAAAATTCCAAATCAGACAAATTATCTTTGTGGTTAAACAGCTCCGACAACTCTCACACCCAATCAGAACCCTTCAAATCTCTCTGCACTCATCTTTTCAAATGCCACGTATCTTCTATCTCCACCCCTTATTTCCCTTCTCTATTTGCATTTTTATTTTCTTCTCATCGCTCGCTCTTTCTCTCTGTCTTCTTCTTCTACTTGCCTTGCCTCTCCTTAACTCCACACCACAAAGCTCTCTCTCAGGAAACCATGGAAATTAGGGTTTAGATTTGATCAGCTTCTGTTAGTCTAACTTAATCTCCATTCATGGCGTCTTCTTCTTTATCTCTGCCAGACCTTACCTTCCTCTCCCCACAAACCACACTCAAACACCGTTTGTCTCTCTCTAGACATTCTCTTTCTAGACTTTTTCTTTCTACCAACCAAATTAAGAGCAGTCTTCCCATCCGGATTCGAGTTCGGGCTATTAGAGAAGAGAGTTTGGTAATTGAAGAGAGGGAGAGTGAATTGCTAAAAGAAGTGAATGGAACTAATGGCGCTGCTTCAACTAGTAGTAATGGTGATGATTATGGTTTTAATGGATCGAATGGTAGTTATACGAATGGTGGCGTGAGTGTAATGGAAAGTGAGAAGAAAGAAGTGACCAATGGAAGTTTGGTAAAGTACGTGAATGGGAACGGTGTTGCTGCGACCGAAATGGTGGTGGAGGATGAGGTAGAGTTAAAGGAGGATGGGCGGAAGAAGAGGATAGAAGAGATTGGAAAAGAAGATGCATGGTTTAAAAGTGCAGGGAAACAAGTTGAGGTATACTATTCTATTATCATTATTGTTGGACTAGCTAGTTGAGCTAGAAACTTTGCCGGAGTGTTATGTGCTTTCGTACTTTGGTTTTGTGATCCTTAAATAGTATTTTCATTGATCATGCATTTAAAATAAATAAAAGAATAATTGAAAATAAAAAAAGAAATGTCGAGCTAGTAAAACTGCAGGCGGTTGGTTGTTGAAGATGAAATGATGCTCATGGTGAGGTTGACATGGAATTGTTGGCTGAGCAACGTTCAAATCTTTTCATTTCTATTGATGTTTGATTGTGTGTTTACCAAATCTTAGATGGTTTTACCAAAATTTATGTTTAATTGTATTTATTTACTGCAATTGACTAATCATTGACTCTAAACTTAGACTGCAGTCTTTTTGAATCATGTTTTTGTGAGCATATATGCACTTTTTGTATTACATCTTAGTTTGGAAATTATGCTGTGTCTCGAAAATTGTATGCTTCTTGTAGGTTTCTGTTGCACCTGGGGGCCGCTGGAGTAGATTTAAAACCTATTCAACAATTCAGAGAACTTTGGAAATATGGGGATTTGTCTTTAAATTCATATTCAGAGCTTGGTTGAACAACCAGAAATTCTCTTATAGAGGTCAGTTCCATATTCGTGGAATTTCATTGATATTTAACTTATATAGTTAAGCTTTATATAATGATGGACGTACTTATCCAGTTTAACTCACTTGTTCGACACTTGTTCTTCTTCTTCTTGTTATTCAAATTTCATATCTTATTTTTTGTTACCCAAAAAAAAAAAAAGAAGATTTAAAAAGGGAAAAGGGATTTGTTTTGTGTTTTTTGTTATTGTTATTTTTCATTGTCTAAATTTCTCGAGGTAACTATGCAGGAGGAATGACAGAGGAGAAAAAAGTTCTAAAGCGAAAAGCCCTTGCCAAGTGGTTAAAGGAAAATATATTAAGACTGGGTCCTACATTCATCAAGATTGGGCAGCAGTTTTCTACTAGAGTGGACATTCTTGCTCAGGAGTATGTTGATCAATTGTCTGAGCTCCAGGTGCAGACTCTTTTATTCGAATTCAGTACAATTCTTCTGATCTCAATCTCCTTTACTTAAGAAAAAAAAAAAAAAAAATTTCTCTCCTTTACTTAAGAAAAAAAAAAAAAAATCTCCTTTTGCTTTGTAAAAATTTCCTTCCATATAATTATATGGGCCTAAGGGAATTTTTTTTTTTTTTCAGCAAAAAAAAAAAAATTTTTTTTTTGTAGACTGGTACAAATATCTTTAAAGACATTTCCCATTATGTGTGTCTGTTAACTGGTTTAATCCAAAAAAAAAAAAAAAAAATCTCCTTTGCTTGTAAAATTTCCTTCCATATAATTATATGGGCTAAGATTTTTTCAGCAAAATTTTTTTTTGTGGTACCAAATATTTTTAAGACATTTCCCATTATGTGTTCTGTTAACTGGTTTAATCCCAAGTTAGATTTAGTTATTTCGTTTGAGCTAGTGATACTCTTTAGTTCTTAGGAAGGACTAAGTTGATTCTGCTGCAGGATCAAGTTCCTCCTTTTCCATCAGAGACTGCTGCATCTATAGTTGAAGAAGAGCTTGGAGCCCCCCTGGATGATGTCTTTGATCGGTTTGACTATGAACCAATTGCTGCTGCAAGTCTTGGTAATATTTAAGTCAATTGTCCCTTTCATGATATATTTCATAAGTAAATCCCAAGATTGCACTTTTTTTGTTGTGTTTAATTTTATTTATTTGTTTAATCCAGGTCAGGTTCACCGTGCAAGATTGAAGGGACAGGAAGTTGTAATCAAAGTTCAAAGACCTGGTCTCAAGGACCTTTTTGATATTGATCTTAAAAACCTCAGGGTCAGTTTTTTGGGTAGTTGGGAATTCTATGCATTCTTCAACCTTGTTGAAGGTTCAAATTCTGATACATGGAACATTGGCCATTTTTACAGGTAATTGCAGAATACCTTCAAAAGATTGACCCCAAGTCAGATGGTGCAAAGAGGGATTGGGTTGCAATTTATGATGAATGTGCAACTGTCTTGTATCAGGTAAAGATTCCTATTTATTGCCTCATCATGTTATTGCCCAGGAAAGCACAAGTAAGAATTTACTACTGTTGCTCTCCCATTGCCTAGCGGAAGTTATAATGCGTTTTAATCCACATCATTAAACTTTTCAAGACAGACTAAGATTTGCTTAGGTTGAAATGATTAAGATTGCTTTTACAATTTGATTTCTGCAAATTTTAGGATTCTTAACTGATAAGTTTGTGCCTAATGGATTATTATTATAGATTACTATCATTATGTTATTCCTTTAACGTTTTTTGAGTAATGTTTATGACAATGACAACTAATGGTACCAGACTTTTTCAGGAGATTGATTACACCAAGGAAGCTGCTAACGCAGAATTGTTTGCAAGCAATTTCAAAGATATGGATTATGTCAAAGTCCCAAAAATTTTCTGGGAATACACAACGCCACAGGTTTGTATTAGTAATTATGAATTAATAATGTGCATTCACATTATTCTTTCTTGAATAAACACTTTCAGATTATTTGTAACCTCTCATGTATTTACTGCAATGCAGGTTTTGACAATGGAGTATGTCCCGGGGATCAAAATAAACAAAATACAAGCTTTAGATCAATTGGGTGTTGACCGTAAAAGGTTAGAATAATCTCCTGTTATTAACCTCTCTTCCCATGCAATCTTCATCACATATGTTCTTGATGCTTATATTTTCCAAACTGTGACAATTGATTTACTAACAATGTGCTGTTTTTATCATGTTCTGTAGGTTGGGTCGGTATGCTGTTGAATCTTACTTGGAACAAATTCTATCTCATGGCTTTTTCCACGCTGATCCAGTAAGTTGGTAGTTGCCACTTCGATCTTTTCTGCTAAAAGTTATTAAAATTTCAATTTTGCACTGACAATATTTTGAGAAAGTGAAACATGAGTTACGCTTTGTAAAAAATAAAAAACAAAGAAAGATTTTCTGCCTTTTTTTGCTCGCTTTAGCTTAAAGGCTGCAATTCCTGTGTTGGAAGGATTCTAATTGGAAGATCCATGTTTTGGTGTTGGCATTTTAAAAGCATTTAGAATTGCATATTGCACTCCAATATTGGAGAACTTTTGAAAGGAAGACACAATCAACCTTCATCTCATCATCTGAACTCTATAATGAAGAGACATCAATAACTGTACTTAAAGTTGAAAGTTGCATCCTCAATATCTCAGTTCAGCATCACCATCATAATTTTGGCTGAAGTGTAAGAGGAGTCATCAATAGTTTCAGTAGTTTACCCAAAGTTTCTGCAGTCACAGTATTTAATATGTCACTCCATGAAATGTTTAAGGTTCATTATTTACTTTCTTGTGCCAATGCACGACGGCTCAAGAAATGCTGAAAGAAAAAAGGTCTCATTCTTGCATGTTCTTGAACATATTCTGTGAGTTATATGTGGGAAAAGAAGATGCATGAATAAGAGAACAAATTGGATTATATTTTCAATATGCAACATTCTCTCAATCCTTTCTGGTCTGCTCTAGTCTAACAGCTTTGAGCAAGGGCTCATCATCAACATATAATGAGAACAGTTTTCTTTCATCTGCAGCATCCAGGAAATATTGCTGTTGATGATATCAACGGTGGGAGGTTGATATTTTATGATTTTGGAATGATGGGAAGGTATTTTATAATCATCAGAGGCACTCTGCAGTTGGGATTCCAAACAAGAGTAAGTTTTATGTATTGACTGTCTGCTGTCCTGGATTTTGCAGTATCAGTCCAAACATCAGGGAAGGGTTGTTGGAAGCATTTTATGGAATTTACGAGAAGGATCCTGATAAGGTGAGTTTATTTCTAGATTGCCTGCATTCAGGCTAGATTTCTTGATTGTCAATGTTATAATAATGTTGATACTATGGTGGTCGACTTGGCAAGAGATAATTATGTAACAATAAAAACATCTGTCCTAGTGTAGGTACTCCAGGCAATGATCCAAATGGGTGTCCTTGTGCCTACTGGGGACATGACAGCTGTCAGACGAACTGCAAAATTCTTCATTAACAGGTGCTTTAAGTGAACCAGAATAAGTTTTGTCTTTCACTTTTATTATTATCATCATTGTATTTATTGTTGGTTCAAGGTTAAAAAAATCAGCCAAATTTGATGCATGTAGTCTCAAGTGATATTCTTGTTAGCAACTGGATCAATCTCACAGTTATCATTTGGGTTACTGGCTAATAACTGTATCAATCTTAAATCAAAATAATATTATGAAGGGCAGGACAAGGCTGATTCTATTTGTCCCGTTGCATTTCTGGTTTCTACTTCCAAATTCCAGATAGATTGCTCGTAGTACTAATCTGAAGTTATACCATCGAAAGATAGTTTGCTCAAAGTTACTATGCCATCATAGTTCCATGTAAATTTTACTTTATTATCTGGCTTGACTTAATTTGCTTGCTACGATGTGACGCTTAGCTTTTTCCTACTATCCTTTTCCTTATCGGTAGGATTTGCTGGTCTGAGTACACGGTATCTGTTATGCGGTAGTAACCATAAAAGAGCTTTTCTTTTTTTTCCTGTGCCATTTGCCATTACTAGCATGTCGCGTGGTATGAAGATTAAAAACCTCGACAAGCTACATAGGTAAATCTGAACTAACATCTAAGTCTTTCCTTTATTTAAAATTTTATAGTTTCGAGGAACGTCTGGCTGCACAAAGAAAAGAGAGAGAAATGGGGATAACAGAACTTGGATTTAAGAAGCCATTGACCAAGGAGGAAAAGATGGAGAAAAAGAAGCAACGCCTGGCTGCAATTGGTAATTCACATGGTGTAATATAAGTGAATAATGTTTTAAGCACATTAAAAAAACTCATAAACTGGTATTTAATCAATTGTGCTCAATGCATAAATTTGCAATAAGTTTCCAGTGTAATATTATAAATGTTATCAAAGAATTCACATTCTGTTGGTACCTTCTGCACAAAATAAACTGCGAAAAAAATGCACTGATCTGCAGTTATGATTCTATTAGTTACTACGAACTCTTCTATCATGTTGTATGTATCGCTTGGATCCCTTTTTTGGTATACGTAATGTGAGGTTTAACAACCCTGTCCTACAGTTGAATTTGTAGGTCAGATCAGGGGATTTTTTTCCTGCTTTTCTACAGTGAAAAGATGATTCAACCTTTTGATTTGTCCACTTGATTTTTGAGACTATTTAAAATTAGCTAACATTTATTGGATTTTCTTAACAGGAGAAGATTTATTAGCCATTGCAGCAGATCAACCGTTCAGATTTCCTGCCACATTCACATTTGTTGTTAGAGCATTTTCAGGTGTTAAAATGATCTGTTGGATTCATTGTGGTACTGTGTAACATTAAGATTAGATCAGTAATTTTTTTTTTTTTTTCCTGCAGTATTGGATGGCATTGGGAAGGGCCTTGATCCACGTTTTGATATTACAGAGATTGCCAAACCGTGAGCATCATCTAGCTGCTGCATTTTTTTCAGAAAAGAATTTACTCCTAAACTTTCTAGAATTTGATTTCCTGTCTTACATATCTGATATTTTCTGTATGCTTTGCCTGTTTAGCTATGCACTTGAGTTGCTAAGATTTCGTGAAGCTGGTGTTGAAGTTCTCTTGAAGGTACACCTTTTTCTTTCTTTACTTGTTTATTTGTAGTAAGGGGTCTGGAATACAAACTTGGACTATGTTTATTCTACTGTTGGAATCAACATTTGTGATTATTGATTCTCATTTTCAAATTTATTCCATAAATATTTCAGGACTTCAGAAATAGATGGGACAGGCAGTCTCGTGCATTCTACAACTTATTTAGACAGGCTGACAGAATTCAAAAGCTTGCTGAAACTATCCAACGATTGGTAGGACTCTGGAATCCTTGCTGTACCTGTATTTTAAGTCCAGAGGCCTAAGCAATTCTGGTGCTATAAATATTCTGCTGATTTCGGCATTTAATACTATTTTACAGGAGCAAGGTGATTTAAAGCTTCGAGTTAGAACTCTGGAGTCTGAAAGGGCCTTCCAGCGTGTTGCTGCTGTTCAAAAGACAGTAGGGAGTGTAAGTTTAGTTGGCGTAAAAAGCTATTGAAACTTAATTCATCACAAATATGTATTCATTTTCTATGATTTTTCATTGAATATTCTAGTAATTGCATTGCTACATTTCCATGGTGAAATATGGTGTTCATTGTCAAATTGCTTGATTGGGAAGAACGGCTTCCTTTAAATCTAACATCTTAATACTCTGATTGACATTGTAGTCATTGGGCTCCCATGTTGAGTAGTAAACTTAAATAAATATCCTCCAAATGTGAAAGTTAGTTTTTGTTGTTTACTTTGCATTAGAACAGTCCATCCCAATAGGGAAATGTCAATTCATTGGGTACTTCAATACAATCAAATAGGTGAGCCCCAACTTTTCACGTTGTAGGAAGCTAAACCATGTCTAAATCTTCTGCTTGATTGGGTGGTTTCTGGTTTGAAGTTTATGGAAACATCTTTCAACTGGAAGGAGTTGGTGGATTGGAGCGAAGAAAAGAACGGGGGAGGGGGTATGGGGTTTGTAGTTATAACTACTGTATTTTAGCATATGATTTTCTGATTACATGTAAGTCTTCACATGTGCGGTGTATTCCAGTTCTGGAATTCAATGATAAACCTTTTTACCTACATACGTATTTATGTCCTGTCTAAATTTACATGTTCAACATTTAAGAAGACATAATAGTTGCTCCTATTTGTGGTACAACTTGTATGAATAGTATGAAAATAATTTACCTTCATTTACCTAGGCATTTATGAAATTCTTTTATCAAAAATATACATGCTGATTTTAGGTGCCAGGAATCACTGAATTATCATTGCATATTTGGTTGAAAATTTATAAATTGGCGACTTATACGTCCAAGGCAAAATCAATACTCACTTGTCCATAGATTTGTTGCATTACAGATTTGTTGCTTTATAACTTGAGAAAAAGTTACTATATTGTTTTGAAGGGCCCAAATACTTACTCTTTTGTTTATATCCCCCCATCTGACAAATCAACAGGCAGTAGCGGCTGGAAGTCTAGTAAACCTTGCAACAATTTTGTATCTCAATTCCATTCGAGTAAGCTATCTGCTGTAATTTGTACTTTTATCCAGTCTTTATTTGTAGTAGTCATTTCAATTGATTATTAGTTAAATGGTTATCTTTCTCAGGTACCAGCTATTGCAGCATATATCTTTTGTGCATTCTTTAGCTTCCAAGTTCTCTTTGGCATTATAAAGGTCAAAAAATTAGATCAGCAGGAAAGGTTGATAACAGGAACAGCATAAAAACTGGTAGGTAACTTAATTTTCTGTACATGCAACCTACAATTTGATAAAAAGAATTCTTTTAATGTGCCAGACTCCACCTCAAAGTGAGACACGGTGGCTGAACTTACTGCACAGATGCCAGTAATTTTTTGATTGGCTTATGTGAATGCCTTGTATATTGTAGGTCTCATACTGGCAGGGTAGTGTCTCCACTTAACCTTTGTTTAGTCTGGTAAATGAACTTGAAATAGATAGATTTATTTGTAAATATTATCTGGTTTAATTATTTTGAAGTCCATAAAATTGAATTCATAAGAGTGAAATAAACATTTTTCATTTATACCTGATGAAATTTCAAATTTCTTCCATAAAATTTTGTGAATATTATTTATACCAAACGAGAGCATTCTTTGTATGTTTTACCAAAAAAGTTCTCAATGCCTTTTTTTTTTTTTTTTTTAATAAATGTGATAGATGCAGATCCTCTTGTTGTTACAAATTCAGAGTAGAGTGCGAAGCTCACCAAGGGAAAGCTCTGAGCATTGAAAGACAGAGGTTGATGAACGTTTTTGTTTAGATATCAGCTTCTAGATTTGTGGTGAAGAATGATTGACTGGGCAGTGGTCTTACATGGAAAGCTTACTGGAAATTCTGGTGGCCATTCAGAATTGCCATTTATCTCCACCTCAAGAATATGTTGAGGTTTTTGGGCGGCTATTTTGCCATAATTAACAGTTTCAATGACAAATATTGGCATGTATAGGTTCCACGGAAAGACGTGTCCATAAACTCTTATGTATAATAATAACTTTACAATGTAATATTTATTAACGAAATCTACCGAGCTACCCATTCATATGCTGTAATTGAAATGTCATTGTTTTACATATTTATCTATTCTTCTCGAAAAGTAGGGTTGAATCCCACATTAGGGAAGTATACAAAGAATAAATGGCATGGCAGGGCATATAATAGCACTCATTACAAGTCTAAATTATTAAATGCATTGTTAATGAATTTGATTATTAGGGCTCCCCGCATGCTTGTCGATATTTATTTCAAAATTTAGTTACACGAATTAGTTATCAGTTACATGAAGTTGAACCAAATGCCCTCTAATAAAAAGATAAATGCCCTTTAAAATTCCAAATCTAAGCAAAATACTAAAATTATATTCGGAAAGGGAGAATATTACCTAAATTGTTTTAAGTATTAATTAATGATAATATTATAATATTTTTTTTTTTTAAGATGTGGTTTGAATATTATAATTTTTTTTTAAGAAGACGTGATTTAACATTATATTATTGATCCGGTCTATAAACGAGCGGTAGATAGAATCTTCCTAAAGATTTATCCACTTCTTTCTATAACATTTCAATTAAGTCAAATTCATTAGGGTTACAAATATTGCCCTTATTAACAATTAATAACTAATTATTTCAAATGTAAAAATTGTATAGCATAACAATATTTAGTGTACTGAATTTGGTTTCATAAAAAGTAGTACTAAATCTTAGGTTGTATACAATATAACTAGTTGTACAGTGGACTCCAATATAAATTTTTATAGAAAGATAGTAAACCAAACTTTAATAATTAATTACACAATTAATTATTTAACTCCTAACTAAGGAAACTTAAAAATATTTCTTAATCTATGAACCTAATTAATAAAAAACAATGCATTTCAATCTGATTGATTATATTTTAGTAAAATGGCGTCACTTAACAATACATGTGTTAAATGAATTGGTTAAAATTGATTAAAAAAAAAAAAAAAGAAAAACACAAATGTTCAGATTTTTTTTCAGCCATTAAGTGATAATATAAAGATTGTTTAATATATTCACCTACTAAAATAGAGGGAATAAATAGTTAGTTAAACCAAATCTAAATTACAATTCTCCACCAATGAATCAGTGAATGAAAAATAGAAAGGAATAGACATCAATATCAGCCAGGGACCGCAAAATCAGTCCGAGCCGTTGGGTATGCACCCAAACCAAACTCAGTCAAACCCAATTTTTAGTGTTTGGACTGGGTTTGGATAAAATCGAAAGTGTCGTTTTGGATATGGGTAAGATATGAGTATTGTTATTAGAAACTCAAACTTGACCCCGAATCTGGCTTGAACTTTTGGGTTGGATACTACCAGAACCTGATACCTAAACCCTGAGAGGTTTGAAAATTAATTTTTTTTTTTTAAAATTGTAGGATGAAATATTTAATAAAGTAAAATAATTGTAATTTGAATAATTTGAGTTAATTTGAATAATTTAAATTAATTTCAATAATTTGAATAAGTTAAATTAATTTGAATAATTTAAATTTTTTAAATTTTAGAATTTTAAAATTTAAAGTTCAATATTTAATATTTCATTTAAATATATATTTTATTGTTAATTTTATATTTTAGTCTATATATTATTTATTGTTGATTAAAATTACTATAAGTTAGAAGAAAACGGAGAGACTCTAACCAAGAAGAATTTTTAAATTTCTTAGAAAAATAAAAACATTTTATCAAAAGCTTCAATACAAGTAATAGTTACAATAGAGAGTTAATTTATCAAATATTTTAAAGCAAGTGGCGTCAAGTTATCCTCATCTTCATTAATTTATCAGTTGAAGAGTCTACTGCTATTACCTTTGAGTGACACATTATGATAAGAAAAGCAATTTTGTAATTAAAATTTTAATTTATCATTTTTTAAGTATTTATTTATGTATTAATTTATTTTCATATTTTTAATGGAAAATACTTTTATTTGTTTTAATTCTTTTATTCACTGATTCAATATAATCTAAATTTTTAAATAATTTGAATATATAAATAAATAGGTATTTACGGGTAATAAATATCCACTGATATCCATGGATAATGGTTACTCATGGGTATACCCAAATCCATTGAATTTGGGTATGGGGATTGACTATCCGATCCAAACCCTATCCATTAACATCCCTAATATTGGTCAAGAACCAACTTGTGCCTAGTAAGATATTCTCCTTCTCCGCTTTGAGCCGAACTCACTCAGTTATCACGGCTTTAAACTTGTCTTTACAGGTTGGCAGAATCCAACCATCTCACACCCAGCTTGGTAGGATGGAACCAACTCATATCCACCTTAGACAGTACAAAAATTTGTTTGCTCTGACCGAACCAGGCCTCATGGCTTTGAACGCATTTTGCTGGGCCTGGGATGCCACACAACTACTAAGAATACTTGGGCCCAATGCTTTAGGCATAACAATTCTTCATTTTCCATCACTGTTACCAGAAATCATAAATTCATGATCTTACCAAAAACTGAATCGAGAAAATTGAAAGTTAAAGTTGAACCAGTTGAATCATTGGTTCAATGGTTATAGCAGGCTTTTTAATAATTAATACACAAATATTTTTGCTTGTGTATACATACTTATATATTTCTAATATTTATATATAACCATAATTATAAAAACTAAAGTTTTTTACTTTAAATGAAGTTAAATACACAAACTATATATAAATGAAATTGAATTTTATAGTTTGGTGGTTGAAGCATATACTCTTCAATGTGGTTTTTAATGTTTGGGTAATAGGAATGAAATGTTAAATCAAATGATCAATTATGTGATGATGGTTTGGTGTTTGGTGATAAAAAGTTTCTTGCAAGTTTTCATATTAACAGGCTGTTTTCGAAAGCAACTTAAAAATCACGAGGTGATAACAAAAAAACATTACCCTTTTCCAATCAATGACCTAGCTAGTTTACCCACTTCTTCTAATCCCTAATTACCCTTCTACATCAAACTTTATATTAAAATTAAACCAAAAGCTATAAAGTCGCTTTGAGTATTTCTTAATCAGTAATAAATAATATTTTTTCAATGTTACCCTTAATTATATTAGATATAATAACTATCTTCACAAGTTATCATTGATTTTGAGATAAATGGTAATTTGGTCAAATTATCTATAATTTAGTTATAATTTAAGAGAATTAATTGTTTCCTTAATCTCGTGCAAAAACCTTAAACGACTTATAATTTGAAATAGAGAGAGTACTAACCAAATGAAAAATCACTCACTCTCTCCCTTGCAACTTGCAAGGCATTGCAACTTTAAATTAAAAACCTTGTCTACATTCAAGATTGATGTTTGGTGTTTGAATTTTCCTTTGGAGAATCCAATTCTAGTTTAATAAGTTGCTAAAGGGGGATGTGTATGTGACAAGGCATTTTGAAATTGTTTGCTGAAAATAGAGTTATAATAAGCATTTACTTTCAAGTTTTTTAAGTCAAGCTTGTCTTATTGTTAAAGCATCTCTACTAGTAGCCAAAAGCTAAAGATTCAAGAGTTGGAAATTTTTTTGGTAAGTTAGGGTTGCAAGTCTTCCTATATGTACATGAGAACATGGGTAACATGGGAGTGGATAGCCTCTTTCTTTCTCCCTTCTTAATCTTTTCTCATTCCCCTAACCTTTTTCCCTTTCTTTGACTCTCTTTGGAACTACTCAATACTCTTCCCATTCCTCTTGACATTTTTGTGGGTGGCAAAAGTGGCGGATGTACAGATATTTTTTCCAGGATTAATATATAATTTAAAAAAAAAAAAAAAGAGTTAGAGTCATAAATAAATTGAACTTTATAGATTAATCTAAATACACACATATATATATATATATATTAGAAAATTTTTACAAAAAAAGGATTAACAGACCCCCTCTTTTTATACAGTAGATGTGTTGATGGCAAACCCTTTAATATTTTTTGTGCATGCCCTCAAGTTATATATTATGAATCATGTAATCATATTTGTGACATTTTATTTCGTTTATAGTTCAAAATGTTTGCCAAATCCACCAATAGGGGAGTGAATTATAATATCTTTATGCAAATTTTGCCTATAAAGTCAAAAATTTAAAACTTAAAATTATCGTCATTTGGAAAGATTTTATCTGAATATTATTATAATTTGAATGTAAATCTCATGGGCTGCGATAATATATATATATATATATATATATATTTGCCTAATCATAACCTTGTCCATTAGAAACTAATTTTTTAAGTCAACAGTTGAAAAGTAATTCTCAAATTATGAAGCAGGTGCATCATTGGATTCGTTTAAGAAAGAAATCTGACTTTGATAGATGTATACATATATAACCTAATCTATAAATATTTTATCATTTTGCAAAAAAAAAAATAAAATTTTGTGGACTTTTTATTGGATTCTGTGTGATATAAATGAATCTAAAATTAATGTAAAACTTATTTAATTTATAGATAAATTTTTATATTTGTCATGATAATTTTACGATTGAATTTTACAAAATTGATTTTTGAAATAAATGCAGAATTCAAACAAGAAGAAGATTTTCATCCAGCGTTAAATTATAATACTATGTCGTGAGGATTTCCAATGATCATGGAAAAAGACATTATATTTATTATGATTATTGGAAATATTGAAAGTGACTTTTAGTTTCAGTTTGTTTCCAAAAAATAATTTATCTAAAAAATATCTTTCAGATTTCACAGTATTTGGAGTGTTCAAAAGAAAAAAATAAACAGAAAATATTTTTCTAATTAAAAGAAAAACTAAGTAATTTTTTAAAGGAAATGATTTTTTATTTTCAAAACATGAAAATATTTTCTAACATACCTTATAATGCACATTTATTAATTCATTAATCACCGATACCTGCTACCATCGGTTATCAATTATTGGCCATCATCAACTACCACCAATAATCACTAGTGACTATCATCATTTTTTTTGTAATTTTTTCTAATATTAAGTATAATGAAATTTTTATAATTATAAATATTTTATAATTTCATAAATTAAAATTTTTAATATTTTTTAACTAAATTTTTTATAATGCAACTGAATAA